CACGGAAATTGGCCGAGTCAAGTGCTGGATTAGTACGGAGAGATTGAGACAGAAGGAGGTACTGGATAGAGAGACCGGGATGGTTAATGTGAAGACAACAACAACACAACAACAACAACACAACAACAACAACTCAGCTGCAAGGTCAAACGCGACTGAAAATGTACCAAGAACCGAGGAAAAAAAAAATACCAACATGCTGCTTCCTATTCCACAGGTTGTGGCAATGATTATCATGTCGCAGCGTACAATTCTTATCATGAAACCAAGTACAAAAAAATAAATTACGCACACGCCGTGGCATACACGTGTTTTCTGCACCAAAGTGCACGGTGCGCTAGCAAGGGAAAAACAGAACAAAAAAATTAATTCGAAGCCAAATGGCGGAGCTGAAACGTACATGCCTGCTCACACATCCGAAAAAAGTCGTAAAAGTTTCACATGTTCTCCCACTTGGCTGTAACAAGGTGAGGTCGTCGCTGTCACCGTGTCCTCCCCGTTCCCTGTCGACTCGAGGGCGCCACCGCTGCTGCCGCTGCTGCCATCGCCGCCGTTGCCGTTCCCGCGCCGCCACGATCGTCATAAGTTCCAGCGCCAACACGGCTGCCGGTGACGTCGCTGCTGCCGCCTCTACCACCGCCGCCGTTGTCACCACTGCCGCCGACGAGGCTCCGGCCAAAGCCACCGCTGCCGTCTTCTGCTGCCGTCGGAGCTCTGGCCGAAGCCACCCCTCCCGTCGCTGCTCCTGCTGCCGCCGGTGTCGCCGCCGGCGCTCTGGCCGAAGCCGCCACTCCCGTCGCTGCTGCGGCTGCCGCCGTTGCCGCCGTTGCCGCCGCCGGAGCTGCCACTCCCGTTCCTGCCCCTATCGATGGGGCACGCCACCCCTGGAACCGCCCCCCGTCTCCTCGCGCCACGCGAAGATGTCGTACCGGGGTCGAAGGGGTGCGTCGGGGCTCCACTTCAGGTTTCATCCAACCCCTCATCCCCGCTCCCATCACCGCCGCTGTCCTCGCTGCTGCAGCTGCTTCTACTGGCGCTGCTGATGCTGCTGTTGCTCACGTTCCCCCCAGCACATTGGCTTTCAAGCTCCTCGAGGGCTGGCAATGGCATGGTTGTCGCACCAACCGCTTCCTCCAACTCTTCGTCACATACCTCCGTCACCGGTGCCGCCGCCGCCGCCCTTGCGGCCGTCTGGACACCCGACGCCAATGCGGCGACCGGGGACGCCGCTGCTGCTGTCGCCGTTGCCGTTACCCCCATCACCGATGTCGCTACCGCCGCCGCTGCGGCCGTCTGGATACCCGACGCCAACGCGGCGACCGGGGACTCCGCTGCTGCTGCTTCCGCTGCCGTTACCCCCATCACCGATGTCGACACCGCCGCCTCTGCGGCCGTCTGGACACCCAACGCCGACGCGGCGACCGGGGACGCCACCGCTGCTGCTGCTGCTGCTGCTGCTGCTGCCGTTCCCCCCGTCATCGATGCCGCCACCGCCGATGCTGCTGTCGGGGACGGCGCTCTTGCCGAACCCGTCCGCGCCACCGCCGCTGTGGCCGTCTGTATACCCATTGCCAACGCGGCGACCGGGGACGCCGCTGCTGCTGTCGCCCTTGCCGTTACCCCCATCACCGATGTCGACACCGCCGCCTCTGCGGCCGTCTGGACACCCAACGCCGACGCGGCGACCGGGGACGCCACCGCTGCTGCTGCTGCTGCTGCCGTTCCCCCCGTCATCGATGCCGCCACCGCCGATGCTGCTGTCGGGGACGGCGCTCTTGCCGAACCCGTCCGCGCCACCGCCGCTGTGGCCGTCTGTATACCCATTGCCAACGCGGCGACCGGGGACGCCGCTGCTGCTACTGCCGCTTCCGACGAATGCTTGGGTTGTTGTGATTCCGCGAACGGCGAAACCACAACAACGTGATACGATCCAAGCATGTGTTCCTCCGCTACACGTCTACTGCTGTATCCGCCTTCCATGAGATTCAGCTCATCGCGATACCACACTACTGCAGGTGCTACACGCGATGTCGTGGGCTGCTGGGGAGAGCAAGTGGCGGAGTGTGGGTTTACGTTGAAAGAAGCTACGTTGGCGCGGGCTTTGACGGGCAAATACGCGGCAGACGAACCGGCAGCAGCCCCCTCCCCCTCCGCACCAACGAACACCCCACCACGCACCTGTCCACCTGCACTCCCGGTGAAGCCGTCCGCTAGCTGTTGTTGCCGCGGCTGTTGCTGAGAGTCACCGCCGTACACCACGCCTGGCTGCTGCTGCTGCTGCTGCTGCCGACACACAGACCCGCCGCCAAACTCGCCGTTCCTCCGCTGCTGCTGAAACGGTCCGCGGGCGAAAGCTGGAGCTGTACCAGGAGCGCCGTTGCAGGACCGTAGAGGTGGCTGCTGTTGACGAGGCTGCTGCTGTGGCATGGGCTGCTGCTGCACCGATGGCTGTGGTACGAACCTCTGCTGCACGCACGGTTGTTGCCGCTGCTGCTGAAAAGAACACCCTCTGCCAAACACGCCGTACCTTCACTGATGCTGGAACGGTTGCTGTACGGGAACACCTCCGCAGGACTGCTATAGACCATGCTGCTGTTGACGAGAAAAACCTCCCCAACAGTCCGGCCGAAAATTTCCACCGCCGACATGAAGGGCGTGGGGGTCACCGGTCGGCGCTGCCGTCCACCGCGCAACATTCCCGAGGTCTCTCTCGGCGTGCAGGCTACGCACAAGATTCTCCAAGTCCTTGCGCGTGAGCGAGCTGTTGGCCATGAAAAGAATGTGGACCTGTTCGTAGTCGGCGGAGAGGTTCCTTCCAAGCATCGCAAGGACTTCTCTACGCGTTATCACATCGCCGTTGACGGCGCGGAGAGTAGACAACACTCAGTCGAACCTAAGAAAGTTCTCCTTTGGGTCCTCTCCAAGCTGCATCTTCATGTTCGTGAGAGACAGCTTCAGTGCCTCCTGCTCGGAGTCCCTCATCGGCAGGCAGAACTGTTGTGCAGCCTCCCACGCCCCAGACATAGTCCCAACGACAAGGATTTTGGCCTGAAAGTTTGTCCCCTTCGTGGCGCGCATCACGTACTCAAACGCATACACATGATCGCGCACGCGACGCTCACCGTGCAAGCGGACGTTTTCGTTCCTTGGCAGCCCGTTGAGGAGCCAGATGCGTTGGTCTCATTTCGCCGGCTTGGCGAGTGTGTGTGATAGATCTTCGCGGGCGAGGAAGAGCTCGAATAGCGACTTGAACAGTGGGAAGTTGACGTCGTACACCCGTGGCTTCCGGTCCTTCCGCACGTAATCGCGGTCACGCTGCTGCTGCTCCCGATCATCGAAATAACTAGCCGCCCCCCGGGCTCCAAAAGTAGCCGCCCCTCCGTCAGCTCCACCCCTGCTGTGGTACCCAGGCGCATAGCCAGCGCCGCTTATCCTCATGTTACCTGTCGCATACCAGGCATCACCCACCCTATTTCTAGTAGCGTCCTCCGCTGAACTCCTCTCCTCTGCCTCCTCAACTCTCCTCTGCAGATCCGCCATCTTGGCTGCCGCGGCTGCCGCTTCCCCCGCTACACGCTCGGCTGCACTTTCGGCTTCCTGCTTCATCTTCTCTATTTAATTCTTTCTCTCGTACTTTCGTCATCGCTGAACCAACACCTGGCCTAGCTAGGCTCCACTAAGACGATATCGTGTTAGTGTGCACTGCCGCCCTCAGCGATCTGTGGTGTTGAGACTGGGTGCTATGTTATCCCAGGAAAAGCAGATGAATAAGGACCATGTATTATATATATCCGTCACGCAAGCCCCTCAGGCAAGCTGGTCACCAACACGCAAGCCCCTCAGGCAAGTGCCAGGAGCACACCGCCGTGAGCTCACCCGGGGGGACCGCACTTGGACCCCAACCGCATACATACCAATCACACCCATACTCCCATACGCGTATCCCGCACAGAGGATTAACGGATCGGACTCAAATCCAAGCACCACAAACACCCTTATTTTTGTCAATGGCGCAGCGTTGGACAAGTCCGACGAGGTCGTGTCAAGCATCGACCCGGCCTACCACCTAGACACCTACCGAGCCCAGTACGCGGACAGCCGGTTCGAGGTGCAGCTGCCCGTGCCTGATGAGCTGGCGGTTGACATGGACATTCTCCCTCCGGCCTGGTTGCCCAACCAGGCTGGTCGCCCCAAGAAAAAGGGGCCCTCGAGGACGAAGAGGATCCCACCCAGGGGAGAGCACGCTTCGTCGTTCTCCTACAACGTCCGCCTGATGCCTACCCCCAGTACGAGAGCGCCCGCCCTGTCTGAGGGCGCGCCTGCATCATCGCAGGGAGCGCCCGCATCATCGCAGGGAGCGCCCGCATCGTCGCAGGGAGCGCCCGCATCGTCGCAGGGAGCGCCCACCTTGTCTCAGGGAGCTCCCGCCCTGTCGCAGGGCGGCGTGCAGTCTGGTGTTGTCGCCGTTGACTAGATGGGTAACAAGTACCTCGCGCTTCGTGACGTCGGAGTTTGCTGTTTTCGACCACCATTGTCCGTTGTGCTGTCGCTCTTGCTGTGACTTCTTGACGTTCCTCGGTAACTTTTCCTCGTGTTGTGATTTTTCGGAGGGATGGGCCGGTGAAGTGGCTGAGCAGCGGCGGTACTGGCCTGGCATGGCCTGGCCCGCCTTGTTTGGGTTGGGCAATTCCGGGCAAGAACCTCATGCGAGTTGTCGCAGGATGGTGTCGGGCTGTGCGAGGTGACCGGCCTCCCTTCGCACAAGCACGGCGGTCAGTTCGCTGTAGCGCAAATCTAGTGGTCGCACGATTTAGCGGCTCTGGCGGTTGCTTTGTTTGGGTAGCTTTGACAGGAAAGAAGCTGTTGTCTCGACCAGGAGCGCTGTGTGTTTTTTTGTCTCGTGCTTCGTGTGTCATTTCCGGACTCTTCGTTCTGTTCCGGGGTCGTTTATCGTTTTCACCTTTCCATTCTGTTTTTGGTCCATCCGTCTTGTTTATTTCGTGCCATCATTGCCTCTTCAGTCGGTCCACGTTAGATATCTGCTGACAGTTGGATCTTTTGATGACACCAGCAGTAAGCTTTTGTTGCCAATACGAGGGACGGTACGTGTTCGTCCTGTGTTTCACCTCCGGACTCTCCCTCATGCTCCGCGTTTGTTTTGGTCATCCGTCTTGTTTTTCCTCTTTTCCGCACCCTGGCCTCGTCATCCCATTTTCATGAAGGCTTGCAACTTGTTGCGTCGACTTCGTGTGTCAGTTGGACTTTTCACTATTTTTCGCCCTCAAGGAAGGCACAACGTACAAGGGAGGCTGCGCAACATCTAAGTCCACGAACTTTTGATACTTCGCAGCAGCCGCATCACCTATACCCTTGTAAATCCCCTTACGCTTTTTTTCACGATGTGCTTGTGCTTCCCCAAGATAGCCCCTTCGTTTGTGAACGCACGGTGTGCTTTAAACCTTACACAGGTCAGGGTGACACCGCCAGCCACAAAAAACTGTTGCAAGCAAATCGGGGTTGTTCGTCCTTTACCCTTCTCGGAAGAAGCAAGTGCGGGAATACAGTGTCGCACTTCTAGGTAGCGCCACGCAGTTTGATCACAGCAGCACACGACACGACGCACTTACGACCAGCCTTCTTAGTGTGTGCTTCTCTGCTACCACCGTCAATATGTCTTTCAGGGGTTGACAATGACGGCAACATCGCATTTTTGGAGTTTTTGTTGCAGGGTCATCCGCGCGCATAGCGGCAGCGACACAACAAGCGAGGGGTATTCTTGCTATTTGATCGCGCATCGTTCGTGCTGCGTGTACCACCACTCTCTCCATCTTTCCCCATCTCCTGTGGCAAGCCCGCAGTTCCTTGTCTCTCCCACGTACTCACGAGAGGTCTAAGTCAAGGAAATGCTTTCGCTGTTTAATCTGAGGTCCCACGGCATCCACTGCTTGCTGCTGCTGCATGACTGTACGATCCTCTTCCTACACAACAACGTGCCATACATCTCCGGTCTTGATGTGTCAATACATGCATTCCAGACGAAAGCGACACCCTGATGTTTCTGTGCCTGATGCTTCCGTGGACATACCTGAGCTGCGTCGTGTATTTGTGTGCAGCTCAAGTGATCACGTGAGGTATTGACAGGTATTCATCCACCGCCGCCCGCCTGGCCCTCTCTCTCCTCCCTCTCATACGAAACGAGAACCGAGTGAGTTCCGCCGTCGGCGGTGGGTTGCAGGAGGAGTCTTGCAGGAGAGAGATCCACTTCAAACGAGAGTTCCGCCGCATAAGCCGCGTTAGGTCCGCCTCCCCCCGCCGTCGGAAGCATCGGAATTCGAGCGCGGGGTGCTGGTGACGTGTGTTTGTGAGCGTGGTCTGCTTGTGGTCTGTTGGTCGAATAGCCCAGCCATTTACGGGTAGGCGAGAGTAAGATCGGATGTCCCTCCGGGGGGCGAGTAGCCAAGATCGGTGCACCCGGTGGGAATAGGGTCAGGGCCGGGTAGGGGCGGGCGTCGGCCAATCAGATGGCGCCAGGCCGGCGCTGCCGACTGTGAAAAGCAAGTGTACCCGATAATGGCCAAATTGGGGCCGGGTGTACCCGATTTTGGCCACTGCTCTTGCTAAAACATTGGAACTGAAGCACCAGTTGTGAGCCCCGACAGTGAAGTCTGTATTCCAGCAGTTTGTAGCCCGCAAGAGGCACTAAGGACCCCGCCTCGGCCACAATTAGAGGTACGCTATGTCTAGCACCGCTTCCGTTTAAACTTATCGAGAGAAATTCCTCGACAACAGCATGTACCCGTTGTCTTTGCGGTATCAACAGCAAT